TCCAACACAAATATGTATGAAAGGGTTACTGGTTACAGCTCTTTCACTGCACACCGGCTGGAAACAGGCAGCTCTGGGGACTCTCAGAGCTCCCTGAAGCCTCCCTTCGGGAATTAGTGAGTTCCCAGAGACTAGAGAAATCAGCCTATCTGTAGTAAAACAAAGTATGGATCTGATAAAAGAGTATTTGCCATTGTCCAACAAAACAATCTCTTGGTGCTGGAGAGATGGCTCAGCAGTTAAGAGCACTGGCTGCTCTACCAGAGGTCCTGAGTTCAATTTCCAGTATCCACATGATGGCTCACAACCATCTGTAACTGTGCTCCCACCGGATCTGATACCCTCTTCTAATGTGCAGTGTAAAGGCAGACTAAACACCCGTATACTTAAAATACATACATAGATAAGTAAACCTCTAAAAAAAAAAACAACCCACTTAATCTCAACTCTAACAATAACTGATAAAAGAGAAAAGGAGGGGCTGGATCAGTACCCTATCCCAAGGCCACTGCTTCAAAGATTTAATAGGGCGCTGTCAGCTTAGGTCAGCGCTCTCATCTAAAAGCTCATACATCCCGGGCTCTTGCCATTTTGGAAGAATAGGCCAACTCATATCTAACATATGAAAACCTTTCCAGACTAGGGAGATAGCTTGATGGGTAAGAGCACTTGCTGTTCTTCCAGAGGACCCGAGTTCAGTTCTCGGCATCAACATCAGGCAATTCACAGCCTCGGTGACTCCTTAACACACAGGCACACAAGTACTCACGCAAACAACATGAATAATAACAATAAAATAAAATAAATATTAAATGTATTCTGGCAGTGGTGGTGCACACCTTTAATTCCAGCTCTCAGGAGGCAGTAGCAGGTAGACTACTGAGTTCAAGGCCATCCTGGTTTACAGAGTGAGTTCCAAGACAGCCAGAATTACACAGAGAAACCCTGTCTTGAAAGACCAATATTTATGTGGGTTTTATAAAACATATCATTGTTTTGTATATTTATATTATATATTTACACATAAAAATTATATGTAATTTAAATATAAAATATATTTGTATGCAAATATATATTTTAATATTACTTTTAGATTATATAAAAATATAAAATATATTTATAAAAAATATATAAATATATAAATATATTATTTTTATATATTGAATAATTTGTTGGGGGAGGGGCTTTAGGAGACAATTCCTCTCTAGATTTGGTACTATCAGAGAGCAAAATTACCACAATTTAAAGATTATAATTAGCTTTATTTGTGATTCCAGAATGGAGCACCAGCTCATTTTGTAACACTGAACAGATTTTCCAAAGGGCTGAGTAGACGGGTTGTCTCAATTGACAGCAGAGAATCGAAGATAAATCCTGAAGTGGGGACAGAATGGCAGAGAAATAGGAAAATAACTGACCAATTAACACCATGTTAGTTTTTTTTGGAATGTATCAATGCATGGAATATGGATAGAAATTGGCCATCTGTGACCTTGGAAAGCCGGATAAGCAACATCCACTCAGGTTGGTGACATGGAACTTTTTTCGGGGGTGGGGGTTGGGGAAAGGTTTTTCAAGACAGGGTTTCTCTGTATAGCCTGGCTATCCTGGACTCAATTTGTAGACCAGGCTGGCTTCAAATGCACAGAGATCCTGGGGTTACAGGTGTGCCCCACAGTGACCCGCTTCCATTTTGACTTTCAGTCTGTCCTGCGGGGGTGGGGACACAGAGCAGGAGCCTGGTCCACAATAAAAGCTTCCCTATTGATTTATTTTTACCTCAATAAGCTTCCTCCAAACCCTGGGTGGATTGAGGCAGCCTATAAATAAACCAATACATGAATGGCATTAGTATCCCCCAAGACTGCCTTCCTCTCATTTCTGATCGTTTTGCCCACCTGCCTGCCTTGTGCTAGATGCTTTTCCATGGATTACTTCATTAAGTCATCCTATTTCCAGATAAGGAAACGGAGGCTGGGAAGCATTAAGTGACTTGCCCAGGGCCGTTCACCACTAATAGGCAGGACTGGAATGTGATCCCGGGGGTCCACTCCATGGCCACTGGAGAGCCCCTTACTCTTTCATAGATGCCGTTTCCTAGATTGCCCTCAGAGTCTGGAAGTGGCTGGACTCCTGGAACTGGAGCTGCAGGCAGTCACAAGTCACCCAGTGTGCCTTCAAGGGGCAGAGCCTGCGGCGTCTGCAAGCACACTGTGTGCTCTTGACGGCTCAGCCACCTCTCTAGCCTCTCTTCTTATTAAGTTATTTGGAGGAAAAACTCAGGTCCTTGTTCATGGTAGACAACATTCTATGATTGAGCTATACACCCTCAACTCTTCAAATTTTTATTAAATTTATTTTAACATTTTATATGCATATACAGTATTTACATCATTTCACCTTCCCTCCCCTCCCTCAACCCATGACCCCTCACCCTTCTCCCTCTCAAATTCATGGCCTCTTTTAAAATATTGTCCTTACATATATAGAGAGAGGGGGGGGGGAGAGAGCAGGCAGGCATTGGACTGACTATGTGGCTCAGGTTGGCCTGAATCTCAGGATCCTCCTGCCTCAGGCTCTTAGTCACTTGGAAGTGAAGGTGTGTGCCTCCCTCCCAGCTTTGGACCTAGCCTCCCAATTCTTTCCAGCTCTGTTGCCCTCTTATCCAGCCTCAGCTCAACTTCTCATTTCAGGGTCCAGTGATCTCACCTGCCACGGCCTCTGAGGTGACCCCCTGTGTGCAGGTCTGCTTCAAGCCTTGTCTGAAGCATATGCCCCTATCTATGCTCCATAGAGATGGCTTCCTAATCATGAGGTCAAGCCCCGTTTCCTTTGTCTTGTATCCAGGACCATTTGCAATGTGTTCTCAGTTCATCCAGATAAACTGCGGCCCCCACTCCTGCTCCCAGAACGGTCTGATCGTCACTCCCTAGACAGGGCATATACTAATGCCTGGAAACTCTGTGCACAATTCCCCCAGGCCTGGTAAGCTACCCACCTCGGAAATGCTGAGCCAAAACCTCCATTTCCACCATGAAATACTCACAGTCCCCTTATCCTCAACAAAGGCCTGGCACACAGTGTTGCTACTTGGACACTGGTGAATGTCCAAACAGTGGCTGCCTTGCCCTAGACAGTTTTGGGCAAGAAATTAAGCTGCCTGAAGCACTTCCACCCCATTCCCCAAATCACGGCTACCATTATTTTGTTTCTTTGGAAAACTCTAAAGCAAGTGCCCTTATAGACCATTACACATGTCCTTCCATAGAGCTTTTCTTGTAATTTTTTACTTTTTGTTTTTTGTGGTTGTTGGGGCTTGGGGCTTTGTGGGGGAAGGGAAGCTCATGTAGCCCAGGCTGGCCCAGGCTCAAGCCTCCTCCTTTCACCTCTTAAGTGCTGGCATTACAGGAGTGAGCAAGCAGACATGACATCTTTCCATGGAGATTTGAGTGAGCTGGCCTGCAGCCATCACTTTCTTACTGGCCTTATGCGTGAGAACACAGTGTAAAAATGTGTGGCACGCTGCCCACACTCACACAGCTCTCTCACTTCACCTGTGCTGGCCCTGCTACCTGAGGAACCCATCACCTCCCACCTGCACGTGCAAACATCAACACTTAGCCAACTGCCTTGTACACCCTCCTCTCAGCAGACTTAATCATCTCCTCGGCTATCTTCCCGTAATTGTCTTTCCATATTGCATCCATATTCCTCCTTGTGTGGTCTCTCTGCAGAAATGCGCTCTCCTCAAGGACAGGAACCATGTCTGTTACCCTAAAGTCTCAGGTGAGGCTCATGGGCGCCTTTCCCCCTCAAAGTGAGTGTGCAGCACCCTGAAGTCAGATCCTCACATCTCTGCCTCTTCCTCCTGACACTTCAGTTACCTGTCATCAATTAGACTTTGATCATATTAGATGGGAAATCCTCGAAACAATTCTTAAGTTGTTGTTAGGTTTTTCAAGACAGGGTTTCTCTGTAGCCTTGGCTGTCCTAGAACTCACTCTGTAGACCAGGCTGCCCTCGAACTCAAAGATCCACCTCTGCCTCTGGAGTGCTGGGACCAAAGGTGTACACCACTATCAGGCATTCCTAAATTTGAAATAGTTTCCTAATATATTGTTATAATTGCTGCCTAATGATTACGTGTGTTAGTAATCTCCTATTATAACTATAAATTAAACATATCATAGGTATGTATTTCTAGGAAAGTATGTGTCCGGTGTGTTCCCGGAGTATTCATGGTCCCAAGCATACACTAGAGAGCTTGGAATGTACTGCCTTAGGTAAGGACGCTTAGGAAAGAACACAGCCAGTCAATCACTGAGGCTGGAAGCAGCAATCCATCAGATTGCTACTCTGCACACAGCCTCCCCACGAGCTTCCTGACCATCTACAAACACCCCAGTCGGTGTACAGATGATACTCAGCCTGGCTCTGCAGGCTGCCCACCCCTGCCCTGACCAATGCTTCTCTATGCCAAGATCACAGGGGACTCCCAAGCTCCACCTTGTGGGCTCTGGGCACCTGTCTTTCCTACTACAGTGCCTCTTTCTCTTTTTTACCCATTAAAGCAACTACGAATGCTTCAAGGCCCAGTCCAAATGTCATTTTTCTCCCTAAAATGTCCCATTAGCAGAGGTGGTTTGGCCTCATTCGGTCATTTCCCATGTTGCTCAGGGTTTTTGTAATGCCAGCACCCTGAGTGCAGCTGGCTATGGCATAGTTCATGCACACAGTTGGTGCTCAATAAATAATAATTGATTTAGAGAATCTACACTACACCTGCAAGTGAAGCGACAGCAAGCCCAGATCCGAGGAACCAGCAGGGAACTGCCTTCCCTGTTGCAGGGAAGGAGGGCAGAGATGCCCCTCCCCAGCAGAGGCATGAGGGTGTGACAGGCAGTTTCCCTGGCTCCACCTTCTTTCTTTACCCCCAAACACTGAACAGATTCCCAGTTCCAGCAGGACAGGAGTCACCTCAGACAGCACACACAGGACACATGGTCACCAGCCCGAAGCACCCCTGCACCAACATGGCCCAGACAGGTATCTGCATCTGCAGCCCTGGGTATCTCACCTCTGCCCCGCAGGCCGCCCTGCTCGTCAGCCTGGTCCTCACCTCCTTCCACTTGCCCTGCGGTACAGGTAATAGTTCTGAGCTTTACTCTTGGCCACCTTGGAAAGGGAGGGCAGGGCTTAGGGGGAGGGGAGGATTCCTTGGCCAGGGTTGGTTCTGCACTGAGGAAAGAGGAAATGGAATTCGCTTCCCTGGAGGATCAAGCACAGAGCTGGGGTGGGGGTCAGCTGGGGTGGGGGGTGTTGGGTTCATGGCTCTCAATTCCTTTTTTGGGACAGCAGCAGTCACACACACACACACACACACACACACACACACACACACACACACCGCTGACCCTAGCCACAAAACAAAACAAAGCATAACAAGCCTTTTGCCGGGCATCTCAGTCGGGCGCCCTAACTGGTAGACACAGGTTATGTATGGCTCTGGTGCTTTTCTCGTGGCTCCTCCAGGTTCCCTCAGGATGAGCCCTCACCTTCCCTCAGCGCAGCAGAGGTTCCCTTGCTCTGCCCATTTGGAACCGGAAAGTGACCCTCTGCGCTCCACCCCTCCTGAGCCCTGGAACACAGATTCTCACCTCAAAGTCTCAAGAGACCTGGCTTTCCCCAGGCTGGTCTCTACACCTGAGCATTAAGGAGTCTGGATCCTTCCCTCCTGCTTTTGACCTTGCCCCAGGCATCCTCAGAGAGGCCCTACTCCCTGTCACACACTTCTCAACACTGTCATCCTGAGTTCTCTCCTCTAGGGACTGTCAGGAGGCTCTTGGGGCTCTTCAGAGCTTCAGAGCCTTGACTCCTCTCTCCTCATCCCACTCACTAGCTGTGTGATCTTGAGCAAATTACTTCACCTCTTTGTGCCCCAGACTCTGTTTATAACATCGGGGTAACAGAACTGTGGTTTATGATTTATGCGATTATTTGTCAAGAAGAAATGAGTAACAACTTGCAAACCATTTACAACAAAATAGTGGCAAGCACACAATAAGTGATAGTAGTTATGGTTACTCTCAATTCATCCACCACAAACAAGAATGAGGTTTTTGTGGTTGTTGTTTTCTGTTTACAATGACAGTGTCGATTGTATCTCCCCTAGCTCACCAGTCCCTGGCTGGACCTTAGAATGGTAAAGGATAATATTCAAATACTTGGGAATTTTCCTCTCAGCAATCCCATCTGAAGCACCTAAAACTGCTTATAAGGAGTGTGTTTTGACCTCTAAAACTGACAACCTAATACTGGCATCTAATTAAATTTTTTCCATTCACGTATTCTGTCCTGAGAACACACCCTAGGGAGAGAGACAAGGTCAAGGCTAAGCAAGTGATTTGGTTTTGAAGGAATTTCCTAATGTCCAGGAATCAGTTTCTCCAAAACAAGGCTCAACTCTAAGCTACGTAAATAATTTACAGCAGTAGTCAGATTGTATCAAGGTAATTACCATACTTTAGTCAGGACAGAGTGACTGGGGCCTGGGTGGCAGCAGTTCTCCAGCTCTGGTTCAGAACAACTTTCTTCCTCAATTACCCTGCTCTGTGTCAACAGCACCTCAAAAGGGCATGCTGACCCAACAGGCCATGAGTGATCGAAGTTCTCCTTTCCATTTTCAAGCAAACAGCAATATGAGTTCCAGAAAGGCTCTTCAAAAGTCAGCCTCTTAGGCTGGGGCACAGCTCAGTTGAAGGAGGACCTTTCTAGCACGCACGAAGCCCCAGGCTGTCTGCAGTTTTGCAAGCGCCCAGCACAGTGGTGTCTGCCTGTCACCCTAGTACTTGGGAGGTAGAGGCAGGAGAATCAGGAGTTTATCATCATTCTCTGCTGCAGGTTCAAGGCCAGCCTTAGGTCCACGAGATCTTTATGAAAACACCCTTTGGTTTTAGTGTGCCTGCCTAGATTGGTACTTGTGTGGATTCTGGTTGAACTGTGTTTCCAAAGAGGGGCCATCGGCTACAGGGGACACCTGAACACACTTCAGATGTGACTAGCTGAATTTTCAACTTTCCTTTTAAAAAGAGAAACTTACATAGCCACAGTGTGGAGGAACTGCTGTCCTGGGTATTGTGGATCTTGCCATCCTTGGCCAGAAGATACATGGACACGGCTTTTCTTTTCTTCCCCGGAATCCCCAGGACCCAGCACCGTTCCACAAACTCCTGACAGAACTTTCAGGCTGCCATCTAAAGGTCTTTCCCCCCACCTTCCTGTCCCTTGCTTGTCAGTCAGGAGACAGTTCTAAACATGGACTATTCTGGAAAGCAGTGGACTTGCTCACTTGAGATGTCGTTTTCCCTGATAACCTTGTGCCTGCGTAACTACATCACAGCCCTAGGAGATAAAGAATCAGGGTCAGATTTCAACATTTATTTGTTCACATGTTGGAAAGAAACTATATATGCTGTGACAGAGACATTCTGGATTGTCCAGTGTTGGTTCACTTTATCCACTTTATGGTGGAATGACCAGCCAGCCTATAGCTATAGCCGTATACACAGGAAGCAGCTGTGTGCGGCGGGTCTCTGTCACTCAGCTTTTTCGGTTTGATTCTTTCTTTCTTTCTTTCTTTCTTTCTTTCTTTCTTTCTTTCTTTCTTTCTTTTTTTCTTTTTTGACAGGGTCTCTCTACGTAGCCCTGGCTGACCTGGAACTTGCTATGTAGATCAGGCTAGCCACAAACTCAGAGATCTCTCAGCTTCCTCTTCCCAAGTGCTGGGATTAAAAGTGTGTGCCAATATGCTCACCTTAAAAGCATTTTTTCTTTTTGAGATACAGTTTCTCTGTGTAGCCTTGGCTGGCTTGGACTTGCTTTGTAGACCAGGCTGTCCTCAAACTCAGAGATCCGCCTGTCTCTGCCTCCCTGAGTGCTGGAATTACAGGTGAGTGCCACCAAGCGCAGCTTAAAAAGCATTTTTCGAAAAGAAGTCTCATTGAGGATGAAACAACAATAAAAGGGGATGGTACTTAGGTCAACACACCACAGAGATACCCGCTTTACTGCTGTCCTATTTATAGTGGCTACGAAAGGGAACCAGTCTGGATGTGCGTGAATGGATGAAGGATGTGGTACAGATGCATGACTTTTACTCATAGTAAGGAATACTCATTTTCAAGAAAATGGATGGTACCAAAAATCATGTTAAGTAAAATAAGTCACATGTGGAATCCAGGCAAATATGGGGAGATTTATGTGTCTGTTATATGAACGGGGAAGGGGACTGTCCTGGTTTGCTTCTCTATTGCTGCAATAAAAGACTGACCAAAAGCAACTTCAAGAAGAAAGAAATTATTTCACCTTAGTTTACCGTCCATCAGGGGATGTCAGGTCAGGAACCTAGGGGCAGGAACTGAAGAAGAGGCCACAGAGGCCACTAGCTCGCTCTTCCATGTCTCAGGAAGCATGCTTTTTTATACAAACCAGGACCACCTACTGAGGACTGATACCATCCATCAGGGGCTGCCTCCCCCACATCAATCCCTAAAAGAGAAAATGCCCCCACAAACATGCACCTGATTGAGGCAATTCTTCAACCGAGCTTCCCTTTCCCAGGTGACTCTATGTCAAGCTGACAAGAACTAAACAGCACAGGGATTACTTCGAAAGATGAAAAGGACCCACAGGATGGGAGAGGGAGCAGAAGGGCAAATACATGCAGAGTACATAACCTTTGTGTACGAATGTAATAATGAAAAAATATTATTTTGTACACTACTTTAAAAATTAAAACAAAATGAACTATGTTTAAAGAAAGGGAACATAATCTTTCATTTGGGCTTGTAAAACAAACACCACAGACTTGGTGAACAGAGAAGGACTTGTCCACCATTCTGGAGGCTAGATGTCTAGGTCAAAGTGTAGGCAGGTTTGGTTTCTCCCTCCTGGGGTTACAGATGGCTTCTGTCTCACTGTGACCTTGAACGACCTATTGGAATTCACAGAGATCCACCTGCCTCTGCCTCCTGAGCACTGAGATTAAAGGTGTGTGCCATCTTTCTCCTCTCACAACACCACTCATACTGCATAGGACTCTGTACATCCTCACTTGGCCTTAATTCTTTTGTCTGTCTCCAAATACAGGCCCATTGGAGAGTCAGGGTTTCAGCTGATGAGTGTGGGGAGCACAACTCATTTTTTTTTTCTTTTACCAGAGTCTCAGTGTTGCAGAGTGGTGTCTTCACCAGGACTTCTAGAACATTGCCGTTATACTCACTACTTGTGCACAAAACAATTCAAACCCTTTGCCTGGGACTCGCTGAGACTATCTCTGCCCTTTTCTTGCAGAAGCTAGCAGTGACAACTCAACCTTGAGCACACACCACCCAGACCCTGGGACCATGGAGCAGTGTGCCAGTAAGTTTCCCGTCAACTGTCCTGCTCTTAGAACCATCTCGGGAGCTGGGAAAGAAATGTGGGCCCTTCTCTGTCCACTACTTGGTGTCAGGCGGCGCAGACCTTCCCGGTCTTCCTAGGCGATGGGGAAGGGGTTGTGCCCCAGCACTGTCCACAGAGCTGGTCAAAGCTAGCTTGGTCTCCATCTGAATTTTTTCACACTATCATCTTTCGCACAGGTGGGTCTACTGACCCATCCCCCGGCCAGCGCCGAAGATGCTCTGAGAGAGAATGTTTTAGCATTTGGGGGTGAGAAGCCCATGAAAAGCAGCTGCTCCAGAGAGCAGGAAGGCATCTCTGTCACACAGGTCCCATCGACAGAAGGCTTTGCTTCACTTTAACTCTGGCCCCTTTATCCCAGCTGCACCAAATGACCAACTGTGTTTACATCTGTGCACTCATAAAGACAGGGAATGAGGAACAATACTTAAGAGGCCAAGAACACAGCTTTGGGATCTGCAGACTTGAATGTGAGCTCTACATCTGCTATCTTGTGGTCCTGGGCTTCTTCAGTTTTGGTTTCTTTCTATGAAGTAGGGATAACAATTGAACAGTATAGCTCAGTGGCAGAGCATATCCTCATTCACAGCCCTGGGTTTAATCCCCAGCACCAAAACAATGTGATGACAGCGATATTACCTTGAGTGCATAAGTAGCAAACATATAAAGACTTAGTATACACTTAACAAGTAGCAAGCGCTTCTAAACACCAGCTGCCTTCTTGCTCTTTTCCTTAACTAGCTTGAGAGGGAGCGGGTACGCTTGGCGAGTTACAGTCCTGTTTTTGCTCTCCCCGTCAGATGTGGAGTTCTGCCCACTAGCCTCCCTGTGCTGCCGAACCTCGGTGGATGAATATGGCTGGATTGCTGCGGCAGTTGGCTGGAGTTTTTGGTTCCTCACCCTCATCCTGCTGTGTGTGGACAAACTGATGAAGCTAACTCCAGAGGAGCCCAAAGACCTGGCAGCATGAGCACAGAGCCATGGCCCCAAGGAAGGCTGTTCCTACCCGTGTGTGGATAATGGGGAGGGGAAGGAGTGCTTCCAGAGGCTTCTGTCACTTTAAAGACTTTTGCCCCTCAGTGTTTCTGGCTTTATTATGGACTTGGTGCTGCGGATCAAACCCAGGCCCTTGTACATGCTACACATGCACTTTGCCATTAAGCATCTGTTCTTCGCTGCACACCCCCTTCAGCTACTTTTTCCAAGGCAAGGGCTGTCCAAGGATCTGTGTGTCTGAATGATCTTATCTATCAGGCTCCACACAAGAACATTCCTCTTCTTTGTAGCGCTTTCTTCTGGGTGGACATGAAACTTAAGGCAGTCTTTTTTGAAAAGCAGGACATTGGCTCTTCCTACTTTAGTGAAGGGCGTGGCCATCATCTCGGAGAGTGAGTGGCATGCCCTCATCCTGCCTTTTTTCAAGTCCAATTCCTCCCCATCACCCTATCTTTCTTCACAGAGTCTCCCACAGCTGTCCAGTCCCACCTATTCTAATTCTTTTCATGTGTGTATGTGTGTGCTTGCATGAATTTGTGTGCACGTGCCTGCAGTGCTCTTGGAGGACATCAGACGCCCTGGAACTGGAGTGACAGATGGTTGTGAGCTGTCATGGAGGTGCAGGGACTGAGCCCAGGTCCTCTGAAAAAGTAAAAAGTACTCTTAACTGCTGAGCCATCTCTCCATCCTCAAGCACTTGTTTTGAAAAGATGGAGAGTAACTATTTCAGGCCAACATAAGTAGAAATATGTGACTTTACTTAGGCATCAGTTTTCTAAGCAGAGCATGGAAGAGTGAGACCCAGCCAATGGCTTAACCTAACACTCAGTCTCATCCAACAGTTTGGAATGTGTTGGACACCAGGTTGCTCCTTTTGCTCAGAGCAGCCTTTTGTGGTTTGTTTTGTTTTGTTTTTTGTTGTGTTTTGTTTTTGAGACAGACAGAAATCTGGAACCCGGGTTAGCCTTGAGCTCAACATGTAACTGAGTACTGGGTCTCCTGCCACTCACAATAGCCTTGAACTTCTGATCCTTCTACCTCTACCTCCCTAGCAGGGGGGTTAAAGGTGCGCACCATCACACACCCCTGAAAATGCAGTGCTAGGTATAGGAACCATCCAGGTTCCATTATGCTAAGGTCAGGGTAGGGCTGTGAGATGTGATTGAAAGGACAAGCCTGGGGCAGCCTTTCCTGAAATAAGGCTGACTGACCCACAGGGCAGAAGTCACCATTGGGTTTTGAAGTGTGAAAACTAGACTATGGCTGCAAAGTAGAGCACTGTGGCTATGCAACAAAGGCCTGAGACTCTGCTGCAGGCAGTTCAGGCCCCGCTGACTCTATAAGACACCAGAATACGTATGTCAGGCAGGAAGATATTTTTAAAGCGTTTTTACATTTTTTAAAAACATCTTGAAGTCTATTTCCCAGCCTTGATGTATCAGGGGAAAAGCTCTATCTCCTGGGAGGCAAGCAGAAGCTCCCAGCATCTCCTACCCATCCAGAGAGGAGGCTTTTCAACCTATCTCTAGATGGAAGCCACCAGAAGGTTCTGGATCAACAGGAACAATTCCAAGTCTCACTCCCTAACTTTCTGGGAACAATTCTGTAGAAAAAGAACCCTGGGAAGTGGACTGGGAGAGGTGTGTGGGGGGGGGGGGGATCACCATGACACAATGGATGTGATGGGAAGCATTTGCAGAACAGAAAACCAGCATCTTGTAGGTTTAGATTTTTCAAAGACCTATTTTATTTTAAATGCCTCTACTTCCTGTCCATCCCCCCAACACACACACACACACACACACACACACACACACACACACACGGAGAAAAAATCAGGTTAGGGACACAGACCTCTTTAGCTACTTCCTGCTGGTTAGGGATGCTGGGTTTTTGTGGGGACAATACCAATCTCAGTCATCTGTATTCCAGAAGTCCAGCTGAACAGCAAAACAGCGATCCAGCAAACACAACAGCAACCACAGCAAGCAACCTCAAAACATTCTCTGGAGCCTTTCTCTGTGCAAGCATTTCCCTCTAGGAGTGTCTTGAGTTAATATGAATAGAAGAAACCAAAAGATGCTTTGTTTGGGGGCTATTTTATACTCAAAGGATGTTTTTTCAGCTGACCAAAGACAAACACCAGGGGCTGTTTAGGGGGACATACCAAAAACATTTCCACGTGTCACACTTGGGGACAAAACAAAACATGTTTACATCCACTACAGCACCTAGAGATGAGGAAAGGATGGCGACGCCTGACATCTCCCATCGCTCTCTAAGAACTGCATCACTGGACACTTTCTGTCACTTACACAGTTCTGATGTGTATCTAAGGACGTACAAAGTGAGGTAACTGGGTCAGTTTGGATTTTATTTTCTGTGTTTATGAGTGTTTTGCCTGCATGCACGCCTGTGCACCGTGTGCCTGGTGTCTGCAGAGCTCAGAAGACGGTGTTGAATTCCCTGCAACTGGAGTTACAGATGGTTGTGAGCCACCATGAGGGTGCTTCTACTGTCTCTCTCCTCCCCTCCCCCTTCTCTGCTACGGACACCATGTGGCCGTCTGCCTCACACCTCTGCCTGCATGAATTCCTCACCATGAAGGTTGGGCGCTCAAAGTGGAAACCAAAATAACCTTTCCTCTTAAACTGCTTCTCAGGTACCTGGTCACAGCAACAGAAGTAGCTCATACTGGGGTTACTGGAACTGTGGCTCAGTGGTAAAGGGCACTGGCTGCTCTTCTAGAGGGCCCTAGTTTAATTCCTGCACCCACACGGTGCTCACAATCATCTGAAACTCCAGTTCCGGAGCATGCGACACCCTCTTCTGACTTCCTCAGGCGTGGTACTCATGTGGTATGCATATAGGCAAGTTACCCATTTTAAGTAACTCAAGTAAATAGATGAAAAACGTAGAAAAAGAGAAGAATTGGGGAATATAAAAATAATATACAATGTGACCAACGACTTCACCCCTGTCACCACACCATGCTGGCCCCACAAGACAGACTGTAGCCCCTCACCTCCCGCCGTTTTTTTTTTTTTTTTTTTTTCTTTCAGATTTTTTGAGAAAGGGTTTCTTTGAATAGCCCTGTCCTGGTACTCGACCACACTGGCCCAGACTCCCAGAGATCAGCCTGCCCCTGCCTCCTGAGTGCTGGGTTGTATTCCTTTTTAAAATGACAGGTAACTAATATGCAAGTTAATATGGACTCTTTTCACCCTTTATTTCTTTGGTTACAGGGATGATATAGTGAGTCACAGAATGAACTAGGAACAGTATTAGGGCCCACTGGGTAGGGCCACACCCCCACAAGGCTATATACTTGAAGAATTATGATTTGTCTCTATTTGGTAGCCAGAAAATAGTTATAAAATGCTTCTTAAAATTTACATATACTAAGTGCTCACTTCCCCAGCACATATACTAAAACTGGAACAATACAGAGAAGACTAACATGGCCGCTGTGTGAGGATGGCATGCATTTGTGAAGCGTTTCATATTTTGGCTCACGGATTGCAGAATAGGGGAGTAGGAGAGAGAGTGAGAACAGGAAGTTTGCTGTGAGATCGTATCCCTAGAAATGTCAGAGAAGTCTCATCAACATGGCTGTCTAAATACAGCCTAAACAAGGAAGACACCAGTAGACATGCTATTGTGAAAGGGGGGAAGCCCAGAGGGCCTCAGCCCTAGAAGAGGAACCACAGCAACTAAGGAATGTTGACTGGCAGCTGGGGAAAGTCTTCCCCAGACAGGAGCCCCTGGATTGGTTTTCCCTAAAAACATATACATGCAAGTAACACTTTCCCAACTGGCCAGGTTGTATTTAAATATCTAGGGATCTATGTAACAATTAAAAAAGAGGCCATGATAAAAATCATGTAGAGTAAACATACCCCTACACCAATTTCTAATCCAAAAGAAAAATAGTTTGCTGGGCAGTCGTGTCGTGTCGCACACCTTTAATCCCAGCAGTTTAGGAGGCAGAGGCAGGCTTCAGCTGGAGGTGCTGTAGAAAAACACTGTGGAGGTCACACATACATAGATGTTAGTATGTTTGTGTACATGTGTGCACATGTGAGGGCCAGAGGTGCCTCTCTTCATTTGCTTTCCACCTTCTGTTGTTGTTTTGTTTTTTTAAAGCCAGGGTTTCTGGCTATCCCGGAACTCTGTAGACCAGACTGACCTTGGACTCAGAGATACACCTGCCTCTGGGATTAAAAGCATGTGATGTCGGGCTGGAGAGATGGCTCATTGGTTAAGAGCACTGTCTGCTCTTCTAAAGGTTCATGAGTTCAATTTCCAGCAACTACATGATGGCTCACAACCATCTACAATGTGAACTGATTCCTTCTTCTGGCAGATGTAAATGCAGATAGAACACTCATACACATAAAATAAATAAATCTTTAAAAAAAAAAGCCTGTGATACCAGCACCTGGCTTCATGAAACATTTTGAACATTAGATAGTTAGGTTTTATGTGTATGCACACACCCACACACGCCTCACACACACAAACACACCCCAGGGGTTGACTTTCTGTATTCCTCCTTATTCTTTGACAGAGACACTAAACGGAGCTCACTCACTGGGTAGACTGACCAGCCCCCAGGATCCTCATTTCTGCCTCCCAGGGCAGGGATCATAGGTGTGTGCGGCACACCTGGGTTTTACATAGGTGTGAGTAATCTAATTCAGGCTCTCATGCTCACACAGAAAGCACTCTATCCCACTGCATATATGTATGTGTCCTGTGTGAGCCTGTTCCCCATGGAGGTCAAACAGGGCATCAGATTCCCTGAAACTGGATTTACAGCCAGTTGGGAGCCACCACAGGGTGCTGGGAACCGACTGTACATCCTCTGTGAGAGTGCTTAGTGCTCTCAACCCCCAAGACGTCTCTTCACTCACACACACACACACACACACACACACACACACACACACACACAC